TTAAGTATGAGCGTAAATACATATATGTACATATATAGTTGAGCGCACACCAGAAAGAAATATAATAATATGAAACTATATCTCTAGTGACCTTCTGATGATCTAAACCTCGACCTATTATGTTGTCCGTTAGCAAAATTAAAATGCAATTTTTGTTTCATACGTTACTGAAGCTAAATGTCTGCTTGTTTGAAACCATTTATCCTCCAATCAATTAGATACATATATGAAGTAGAAATATTAGGATGGATCTATACTGTATACAATGCAAGACTATTTTTTTTTTTTGTCTTTGGTCGGACATTAATTAAATTAACCTGTTTTAAACAGGCTGCCATTCCGTTATCAAATCAACTAAACTGTGAAACTTCCAATTTTATTTGGAATATCAAAGTTTGTCTTCATCCATTTGTTAAATGATTAAAACTTTAGTACCCGAATATTTAACAAACATATAAGCATCAATTACATTACATTTTTCACATATGACCTGTTCATTTAAAATTAGGTATGAGTATGCATGCAAATACAACTATTCATATATAAATTTTCATATCCATATCGCCAGGTGTATKTTTACATAGATAAATAGTTTAGCACACCAATCATTTCATCAAAATCCCAACGTAAGTCAATAATAAAAGCRAGATCTTAAGTTGTTCTTCGATATTGAATAACTCACCTCTTTGTAGAATTCCGTAAATTCAGATGTAAATAATCTACGCAAAAGTACTGCCGCCATTTGACGTGCCTCCTCCGATTGTTGACCATTGTGGATTGTACCCAAAAGATGTGTTACTTTGACATCGCATGGCAAATTGTTATAAGCATCCTATTTATAAAATAAACATTATTAAATAATTTAAAAATGTATAATAAATTTATGATTGTAATAACTTAATTTGCTAAAAAAAAAAAAAAAGGAAGGTTAAGCACCTAAATATGCATATAGTATAAAGGAGGTCACAGGGGTATGTAATGTCCGAGATTGTAACTACTGCAACAAAATAATGCGATGTACAAGCAATGTCGTGTGAAATCAGTTTAAACACACCAACCTCTCCCATAACACAAAGCATTTTTCAAGGTCATAGCTTAATCAAAACCAACTTTACCATTAGCAATTCGACGGCTGCAGCTACTTTTACTAAGAAATATTATAGGCATTAAATTTTAACGAAATTATTCAAAATTATAAGCATATATGTATATATATTGCAGACGCAATATACTTATTGCGATTCCTATTTCAGTTCATGGTTAAAATGGGCGTTGGCACATACATATATTAAAAATAAATGAAATTTGTTCATATAATCGCTAGATTCTAATTCGTGCCATAAGCTCTCGTCATTCATCCTAGTCGCCAATATCGCAAATATATCACTACCACCTTTATGATTGGYTGTCTGTATTGCTTTTTCTTCCGTTCTTCACTTATTGCAAATTTTTGCGCATATTCAACTGTCAAAAATAGAATGTACCTGTATGTGTAATCCATTTTTCACGAATTTGTCATCTAAAGCAATACGTAAAAAAAAAAAATAACTATTCTGACCAAACAGACATTATATGTTCCTATKTAATCTGCACTTTTATTGCCTTTCTCAATTACGAAATGGTACACTCATATGCAAAGGATTTTGAAACCCGTAAACCAAACTACATACTTATGTGTTTTAGGAAAATATTTAAATAAGTAGAAGAGAAGGAAAGAACAATAAAACCAAAATAACGAAAACATGTGTAGCATAATGAAAACACGTTTTGCTAAATTGTCTCCTTTTTAACACTCGTTCGTTGTCGTGGTCGTTGCAGCGGATGATATACGSTATAGCGACTGCAAAGTGCAAATTTAAAAAACCCGAGGCATATGCGTGTATATTCCWAATGCATATTTGTATATATATTTTCCAGCATAGCGTATGTTTGTAAATGACAATATGCACATTGCAAGCGCAAGGAGTATATATGAATGATTATACAAATATATGTTTGTATATATATATAAATATACATATATATTAGCATTGATCGGTGCAAATTATTTGGTTCCACTTTTCCTAAATTTATAGGAAGCGCCACACTGCGCAATAAATAATAAGGAGAATTTTTATTAATTCCTCATGTACCTCGTGTTAAGAATTATTAGCGAGTAGAAATGTTTCTAGACTTACATATAAATATGGTAGTCATGAAATTAGTAAWGTAATTTGTTGTACCCACCTCTGCTTGTTGGCGCACATCATTGTCCGTGGACAACAACGAATTTAAGAGTTGCTGAAATTGCACTTGGTCGGCGGCCATGACTYAATTCCGTTTACAAGATTCCTTCTATTCACTGACACAACGTAAACTTTGAAATCTGATCGAAAACTTAGTCCTGTAATACAACGATTTCTGATATTCAATAACAATATATTAGGACTGGAAATAATTTTTCACTTGGAAAACTGTTTCCTTCCTTTATTTATTATAAAATCTCATTAAAAGCACGCACAGAACCGCACACTACAGCGCACGAATGGTGAAAAGAAACGACGAATTCACAAATTGCCCGCTCGTTCGTATGTTGTGCTTTGGAAAACGAGCGCGAAAAATTCAATTCATTCGTTACATGTAGGAGTTGCCGTGTCAAAATTAATATATACATAAGTGTGTAGGTAATTCGAACGTTTTCAACAAAGAAAATTAAAATTTTCACTATACATATATTTATATTTACAAAACTAAATTTAGTTAATTTTATTAATTGTAAAAGTTAATAAAACTTAATAATAATTTGAAGCTGAATAAATAAATAATATTACATAAATAAAAACAAATGTAAAAGTGAATAAATCGTAATAATAAGGTAAAAAAACAACATTACAAAAATATAAACAAAAATGACGACATTATGATGCTGTTAAGCGTTGCATATTACTCCATAAACGTAGTGAGATATGATATAAGAGTTCAACCAAACTTAATATAGAGAAGCCCATAAATAAACCAAAAATACCTCCGCAATTAGCCAAGAAATCAGTTACACCATACAATTCAGATCGCTTCGATGTTATAAACTGATGCTCTTTAAAGTATATAGAGAGGCGAGACATTTGTGATCCAGGAAAATCTTCAAAGAATGTAGTATCACCAGTTGCTTTTAACATATCTTCTAGGTCGAAATTTCCATGTGATATTTCAGTATTGTAAGCAAGTGAAGTACAAGCCGGCAAACAATTACATTGTGTGGCGCCTAAATAATTCAAACGGGATTCTTTTAGACCTTGTCGAAATTCCCGTAAAAGCAATACATCTTCGGCTCTATCGTAACAGGGGATTTTATTCTCGGCACATACTGGCATTTCTAAAGTGCGAGGCATCGAAAATTTYACACACCCACAATTGGCTAGGGTTAAATTTGTTAAACATTCTAATACACAATTATTTTGTGTATACACTTTAAAGAATCTCAGTGTACGCTCATGTTCTAAAAAGCATTGGCGTCTTTGTGGGGGATATTCTGCAATACCTGCCGACGTTGTGATCATATTTGGTTTAACAGCAATGACCACTTCTTTTCCCATAGGAATGCGCACGAACTGATTTGAAACTTGTGGAATGTCATCGGGTGAGTGTAGTGATACTTTGAAGCCTTGTATTGGACCACGGCACGTATAATCTACCTCTTGACGAAAACTCTGCAACGCAATGAAAAATCCTGCTCGCGCTCCTGCACCTAAAACTCTTGCCGGATACGTTTTAATCCCACTGTCAACTGCATATCCATTTTGCAAGGACCACTTTAGGGGCCGCTTTAGAATTAGATTATGCTTAGAAAAGTTTTTAAATCCAACTCGCTGATATTGAAAAGTGTCTTCCCGATACAAATCTGTTGCGTTGAGACCATTAAAGGTATAACATATGCCTTCATTTGTAAAAGTAGGTGTAAAAAGTTCATCACATTCACCGAAGTGACTAAACCATTTACAATAGTAATAATATCTATTGAACTCCGGTTGCATATTTTCCAAAACTCTGAAGTAGTCTATAAGATCAGTTGAAATTTTTGGTGTACCATGTTCTACTAATTGAGGATTGCAGATATGAAGAAGTGTGCGGAATTCTTCCAAATCCGAACGGCTAATATTTTTTGGTATAAAATAACGCCTAGCCTTTACRTATTCCCGAAAGCTTTTTAAGAACTTGCCATAAGTTACACCTATAACAAAAATATAAATCATCATCGTTCGATTACTATAGAATTAATGCAATTTACTACCAACCCTCTTTCCTGGGAACCCTCTTGGTTTCAGAGCATATAGTAATCGCCGGAAATGGTATGCTCCAAATAGGTGTCGATTTTTCTGAGAAACTAACTATCACTGGAGTTTCGTTCCATTTTATATAAATACTGTGTATTAAATTTGAACAGCAGTATATTGATGCCAAAAACACGCAAAACCAGAAACATTTCTCTATTAAAGGACGACGTTCTCCAAAGTATTGTATGCCATGAATAGATGTGTTAGAGCAGTACTCAAAGTATACTTGTTTAATACTTCTCCTAAGTTTTTCATAATGTGGTATATGTCGATCCGAATCTATTYCTTTCGAATTCACTGTAGGCTTTTTGTTATTATTTAAGTTCATAAGGCTCATTTTAAAACAGATAATTTACGACATGAAAAAAAAATAAAACTAATTATTAAAATGAACGGTAACGGTATAAAACAAACACATAATCTCTGCCATAGAGTGCCCAAATTAAAAATTTCTCTGTCTTGTGCAGGAAGTTCCCAGTGAAGATGTGTTTGTTTGCCTCATGCTAAATAAATTTTTTTGTAAAACAAGATCCAAGTTTATCTTTATTAAGTTCGATTATTATGATAAATGAAAATAAATGGCGATAAGTGTAAAAAGCTACATTTTTTTAACTGTGTAAATATGGCAAAACATAATATTTGTGACGTTTAGCTAAGTTGGCAAGGCAAAAGAAAGTACAAAAATAGATAGCGACGAGATCAAAGTGTTTGTTTATCATCTGTGAATTGTCAAATAATTCAGTTTAGTATTTTGTAAAAAAATTGCGGAGGTAAAAATATTTTTACAATAATGCCCTACAAAGCTTGTGTTTATAAAGGCTGCGAAAATTACACATACGATTGCGCACCTTGCGGCAATAAAAAATTTACCCTTTTTCGATTCCCAAAAGAACCCGCTCGATATGAACAATGGATGAAAAGAGGTAAAGTTACCGATGGATTGCCGGAAACACAAATGCTAATGTGTTCCGACCATTTTGAAGGAAAATATATCGTAAGAAACGCCCGGCGAACAATGTTGACAAACACAGCGGTGCCACTTCCGTATCAGGAAGAAATCGCTGATATGGAGGAAGGCGAGGATAATATCGAAAGGGAATGTGAAGTTGGGCTGGTTAAAGTAGCTGATGCCTTAGACACAGAAATGGTGTTTTCAATACATGGTGATTTAAATGATAGTTCTACTCTAATTAGAGTTAAAGAAAGTGGTTGTGAGGATGATGATGAAGATGGATTGCTGGAGTACGAGAGAGTAGATAATAACTTAGAAGCAGAATACTGTGTTGAATCCACAACAACAATGAAGGATGCTGATGATGTACAGACAGAAGTGAAAGACATATTTTTAGTGGATAGAGTATATGAAGAGGAACAATTATCAGGTAAATTAATTTATTAAAAAACAAACTTCAAATCAGTCAATATTGTAATTTGTATTTATTATAGGTACAATAAGGCATCCAGGACAAAARGACATGTCCTTCAAGGGTTTAAAAACAAATAGTATCAAAAGGCGCATTACAAATTCGAGCGTCGATGAAACCCAAGAACCTTCTAGCTCTAAAGTTATCACATCCAAGTTTAATAACTTTAATAACAACACTAACGATAATGGTACAACAGCTTCCAAACGTAAAATAATCCAAAGAAGTGAGGATAATAACAAATACGTTAAGTCAAAAATACGGAAAGAAAATGTAACACGTCAAGACTCTCCAAAAATAAACTCGGAATCCTTGGTGAATGCGGGAGCTGTCACATGTTTTATTTTTAAGGGTGAAGAATACGTACAAATGCCTAAGGAGTATTACATACAGGAAAAAGTTGAGCTTATGGAGAAATTAAATAATTATGAAAAGATTTTACGAACATTTAAACAAAACTTAATTAAYTTGGAATTGTCATAAAAAAGAAAAATACGGAGATAAGATTTTATTTAAATATATTGTAGTTTCAATTTAAGCCTTACMAAATATTTTATTTTGTTTCTTTATTTTAACAAATAATAAAGAATTTACGTAATTTATTATASTTTTTACTTGGAGGAAGGCTAAGTGTTTGCATTATGTTTACATTGATTATAAACATAAATATCATTTCACCATATATTAAATATTAAAATATAAAAAAATAATTCGAATACGTTTGGTATATATGTAAAAGGTTGTTATGTAGAACTAACTCTATTACAATGGATATACATATGTATATAGGTTAATTATTTAACTCGAAAAGAATGTGCGAAATCGCGCCACTTGACTCCACATTACTCAATGCTATATTGGATAGATGCGGTTCATAACGCCGTAAATTGCGCTTCGCTGTGCTGGTATAGGTAACCAAATTTCTTAATATTAATGCGGCGGTTAACCTTATGCTTTTCGTTACCGGTCCTTCATTTTCATCCATTACCTCCTTGACGTAGTCCGCTGTATGCCGCTTGATAGCGTTCATAGCTGAACTAGTGGCGACTCCGATTCCATACAGTTGTGAACCAGATGAAGACGATGATGTCGATGGCGCCGGCGAGGCGGTATTGTTACGTTGCGCCTGCGCTTGTGCGGCCTCTACATTCCGAACTATAGTTACCGGTGATTGAGTCGGCTGCAAATTGACTGTGCCTGTTGCTACTCGTCGTTGAGCAGCGGCATGTAAACTATCGGGCGTCAAGTGACGATCTATTATGTGTGTCATAAGTGAATAACGTTTGCGTGGTATGCCATCGCAAAGACCTGGACCCACACCCCACTGGCAGAAAATTTCCGCAGCCGGATCCAGATGATCCGGGCAATGCACTGTAAAGGCATGATGCTGCAAATCATTACTAGATTTATATTTACGGCGCGGACAGTTGCGCCAATCGCAAACATATAACCAGTTGGGATCTAATGGTGGTGTTGCATTGGCTGCAGCGGCCGCTGCCACACCAGGTGGCAACTGAACTTGAGGCAGTTGTGGCATCGGAAGCGTGGGTTTCGGCAATGGTGTTTGAACAGTGGTTGCTGGTGGTGGGGTACTTGAAGTTGACACAGCTTGTACTGTTGGTGCAACTGTTGCTACGGTGGTTGTTGTATTGCCAGAATTATTTGATACTTCATTGGATTTGGAAACTTCCTTTGGTTGCGGTTGGCTAGTATTGGTTGAGCGTGCGGTCTGAGTTAGAGGGGGTGGCTCCGAAGCAACCATTTTATTGTTAACAACTGATGGTGCAATTTGCTGTTGTGTGTGCGCTTTTATTTGTTGCACAACAGTAACATTACTGGATGGTTGCGGGGACTGTGATGCTGATTGTTGGACGACACTTTGAGATACAGTCGGAGATTTGGTTGACAAAGAAGAGTGCATTATATTGGTTTGTTCACCAGACTGCAAAAAATTAATATATTTTGCGAAAATTAAGAATGATTGATTACAATTCAATACAAATAAGTTATTWTGAGATGGTATTAAATTTGTTTGGCTCAAACATATACACGTATATATGTATGTAAATCAATATTACCTTTTGGGGCTGTTGTTGCAAACACAACTTCTGTTGAATAATTGATGGATGCTGCTGTTGTTCAACAACTGTGCGTATTGGTTGGATTTGTTGTGGCGTCTGTTGCTGTTGTTGTTGTGGCAGTACTTGTTTCGTTATAATCGTTTGAGAGTTCAATTGACTCTGTTGCGCAGGTGGTGGTGCTTGCGTAATTACTGTCTCCTTAATTTCAATAGCTCGTCCACCAAGTATCATTTGACGTTTTTCGGATGGTCCGGATATTATGTGTTGTTGTATAATAGATTGATGCTGTTGCAATTGCGGTATTTGTATGGGCGACGGTGATACTGTCAAGCCTGGTGTAGACTGCACAATGGAAACTGTTTTACCTATACGCGAAATGGTTGCTGGCTGATGTTGATTTACAGAGGGTACAGTTGTTGTCGGCATCTGTGGTTGATGAAGTTTAATCGTAGCTGGAATGTGGTTCAGCTGTGAAAGTAACGACGGTGAAATTTGTCCAGAGCTCGTTTGCGTTGGGGCGATAGTGGTTGCTTGAGAAGTTGACAATATTTGATTGCGTTGTAGAAACTGATTACTGTTCGAAACATTAGCAGTAATGGCACTACCGGTAACCGGAACATGAATATGTGTGGCAGTGCCCGTTTGTGGATTTATGAAATACTGCTGTGTTGTTGATGCGGGCAGCGATGGTTGAGGGCGCTGTGCTACTAACACTTGACCCTGTGGCGTTCGCATGATCATCTTTGGTGAACCACCTGTTATGAGCTGCGGTTGCGGAGGATGTGTTTGCTGGCCGGGCATTGTTTGCTGCTGAAGAATAATAATTGTTTTTGTACCAGCCGATTGTTGTTGCGGCGTTTGAGTGACTAACACCGTTTGTTGTGGCGGTGGTGGTTGTGGCTGCGGTTGTTGTGCCACAAGATATGTCTGACCTTGTTGATTTGTGGCGAGCACATACTGAGTTGGTTGTTGCTGTGGCGCTGCTTGCGGTATATTTTGTGTGATTACTTGCTGTATCAACTGTTGGGGTTGTGCCTGTTCTAGTGGCTTTTGTTGTAAAATAACCGGTACTGTTTGTAATCCTTGATCTGTTTTTATGGTAGCCATAGCTGTGGGCAGCTGATTAGAAGGCCCAACACCGCCGTGGGCGGTCAGCTTTAACTGAGGCGGTTGACTTGATTGAAAGACTAGTTGACGCTGAACACCTGGCAGGTTAGCTTGTTGAATTTTTGCTGGAATTAGCATTTGTTGCTGTTGAATAGATTCATTYAATTTTGATTGCGTTGAGATAGTAGATGTTGACGAAGTCGTTGTTGCAGCTGGTAGTGGTGGTATGTCTTCTAAATCCTCGTCTTCTAATATGGACGCAGCCATCTCTGCGTATAAATTAGCGGCGTTTTTTGATGGTGTTACTGGGGGATCCTCTTTGGAGTTTATTGGTTCCAAAGCCATTCGTTTTGCGGGTTCCGTACCCTCCTCCATTTTACGTTTAATAATTGTGCTGGGCATTGGTGGTTCTCCACCTTTCTTATCAAGTATTTCTACTAGCATTTGATTGGCAATAATTACTGGACGTCCACTTGCATCCTTGGCAACATTATTGCCACTAAGTGGTGCCAATGGTGGTGGTGTTGATTCAAGCAATGGTATTTTTTCCAAGGGCACTTGTGGATTCAGCGGCTTAATGGTAGTCTGCCCAACTTTCACGGGAGTATTCTGCATTAGGGGGTTATTCACTAAAGCGCTAATAGCCGTACTGGCAACTTTTATTGGATGTTGTGTAAGAGCGTTCACTGAAGTATTTGTCGAAGTAATCGACATCTGGCTACTGTTGGCTGCAGTAGTTATTTCCTTCTGATTTTTTTGCTGACGTTGTGTCACTTTGCTGGCCAATAAACTTTTGATCAATGAAGAAGAAGGTTGCACTGCTGAATCTGAGGAGTTTTGTAAAGACAACGATGGTGATGTAGAACAAGTTGATGTCGACACTACTAACAAGGTTGTGTCACCAGTTGAGCTGGTGGATGTGGTTTCAGACGATGCAGTAGATGTAATAGTTTCTTCAACAATTTTTGGTTGGGAATCAGATAGCTCTTGGATAGCTGATGTGGATATATTAGTCGCAGTCAGTGTAGGAGTTGTAAGATCTGCAGATGTAACATCGGGTTCATGCTGCAGTTTGGGTTTTTTCTTCAGTTTGCGTGCAGGCGGTGTTCCAGCGGTTGCAGTATGATTTTGAGGTAACTTGGTGGATTGTATGGGTAAAGGCTGGGCGCGCAATCGTATACCAACGTAGTAAAAGCCTGACAATTCCGTACCATCACTACGACRCGCCGACATGGGACCCACATTGTTCGTATATATCAAGCGTACAAGACGAGGAAATTGTAAATGATTAACAACAGAGTGTTTACCGAACTTCTGGCAGTGAGCTAAGTACATGCGATAGAGTTCTTGTTGCTCCACGTGACTATCTGATGTTGTTACTCGCTCWAATGTAGCGCCTAGCCATGCCAAAGCATATTGTTCGTCCTCGTGTGTGAAATTTTGGGCCGCACCCGTCGGTACTTGAGCTGTATTCGTTACGTTCTGCTGTACTGTCGATGCCTCCTGTTGCGGCACAGTCGCTGCTGTTTGTATCGTGGTTGTCTGATCCACCAACATAGGTTGTGGATTTTGGGAGGAATCAGTTACAACTTGTGGTACTTTCACAGTAGTCAATTGCGGATGTGAAGGTGTAATTTGTGTTGGCATCACTTGCATAGGTACGGGTGCTTGSGGTGCTGGCAATTGAGATGTTGGCACAAGCACATGTGGAGGTTTCTGTAAAACTGCGACATTTTGCAGATTCGCGATGTTTTGTGCAACCATTGGCAACATATTACCTGGCACTGTTTCTACAACTCGCATCAAAATACAACCATCTGGCCCATATGATTGGGCTTCGACAGTGACCAAAGACACTAACTGGTCTACAATACCTCGTACCTGCATTATAAGGTGACATGACCGTGTCCCCAATGAAGTTAGCGCGTATATGGTTTCAAGTGTAAATATTAAAAGCATGATATCATTTAAACAAAGAAATTGACAAATGTTTTCATAAAACTTAAGATTTAAACACTTGTTAATGTGCTCCTCATTGCCATCGGTTTGACAGAGTTTATAAAGTGTCTCCAAACTGTTTATGATTACTCCGCGATCCATACTTTCAATGCCATCACAGAGTGTAACTAATAAATTGCGCGAGACGTCGTCCGTCGATGGATCTAACAGTTCTATTTCAGTGGCGATATTGCCGGCTATATCCAAAATCTGGTTATGTAGATTACCCCAGCGTATATTGGCACCCATCACTATGAAACGCATAAATGATCGATTTTTTGCAAATACATTGATATTTTCCTCAAAAAAGCTAAGATTTCGAAATATTGCAACAATTTGCAGGACACGTTGACCTACATACTCTTGTGTGCCTTCACCGGGTCCCAAATTTAAAAAATCCAAATCCATATCGTCKACAAATTTTTTTACCTTTTCGGTATCTTCTTCATTGATTAGTCCTGCATCACGCAYAGCTTGTTCATCAGAATACAAATCTAAAATTTGTGGTTTGTCACGTAACAAGTCGCGCCAAAAATTGAAAAGTGAATGCTCGCGTACTTGTGTGTAAACATGTTGAAACAATTTGCGCAAAGTGAAATCTGGAAACACTCCCGTATGTGCCAGCAACACATCCAAAAGTTTTGGATATTCGTTCAGCTTAAGTGTGTGTTTATTTTCATTTGACATTAATGAGCAAACATTTATTGCAAAATCTTGCTCATTAGGAAGCGGTGAAATTAGAGAAAGCATAAGCTTCTCATAAGGTGACGGTTTATGAAGATCGGTAGAGAATTTATAAGTACGACGTCTATCCATATTAACAATATGTTGCCTGTAATTGTAAGCCATTGGAACTGCATTGACGTTGGTATTAACGTTATTGCTTGAATAAATAGACGCCGGATAACGACTTCGTGAACGACCACAACCTTCCATAGCATCTGCAGATTCTAGTGCTTCCATTTTATCTGGATCTTCGCCGAAAAAGTTCTGCCTTTCATATTTTTCTAGACACCGTCTGTATATATACTTCACTGCGGCAGTAGCATTTACGCATTTATCGCGAATTTCTAATACTGGCAAGACTTCATCCCATTCATCTCTTTGATTCACYTTGTTGAAACCACCGCGTTCAGTCACTTCACTGTAAAGTCGGTGGAGATCTATTTCTCGTCCACTAATTTTCGGCGTGTACATAATTGGTGTACTAAAATAAAAAAAAAAAAWTTTATCATTATTGTACGAGATATAACTGTTGCCTGGATTGCAAAAAATGTACTTACGCACGCCTCTCATGAAATTGTTGTAGGTCACGATAAAATTCGTCTGGAGCTTTGGGTAAAGTTTTTCCCTTGGGAAGTATGTTATTAGAGGTATTAGTTGGATTTGCTGACACAACTGCATCAATATTTGTTGCTGGTGTACCCATTATATGAAAACTTTTTATACGTAAAGCTGTTCCATTATTAGCAGGACATGCACTTGGGACTGCATTTGCAATTGTTGCCGGTGCTTGGTTGGCGTCATTCCCTAMAAGCACTGAACCTTTCAACGATTCTTGTAGAGACATAATTGCTGTTATAGTTCAGAAATAATAGTAATGGTGTAACACATAGATTATTTTATAAATAATATTTTTAAAATATATATCAATAAAACTACGAACGCGGAAAAATTGAACAAGATATATTTTCTCAATTAATAGCGTTGCCAACTAATCACTACCAACTGCTCGAAGAAGCCACAGAGATGTATTTTTTCACAAGAAATCAAATTTTACACACAAACTACATTCCSTAACATGACGTTCACACACATATTTCTGTATAATTTCATTAATTTTCTTTAAAATCGTCTAAATACTCTATATAAAAAGAGAAATTCATACAGTAAATGTATTTATTTTAAAAATGACTGAACTAAAACATATGTTAATAGCTGCGGAAACACTATTTAACATATGTTAATTATAGGCTTGGTAACCCTATACTAATGACATTTTAGAAGAAGTAAAAATGACTTTGTTAGTTTTGCATTTAAAAATTATCAAATTTATCATTTGGAAATGAAGTTTGCAATTGCTTAAACGGCTATAAAAATATTACCCCAAAATATAAAAAATTAACAAAATCGGCTTCGATATCGTTACGTATCCTGGCAATGGATGAAAAGGTTGTAATCTCTCCTGGGCAGTCGGTATGTCAACATAAAATTGTAGTGGTAATTCTCAATTAATTTTTGTTTATCTTCCTTTTCTACGCAAAATAGAAGAATCCCATTGATGCCCTGAGTAAAGAAGAATTGATTCATAAATATAAGGGACTGCTAGGAATCGCCAAAAAGGCGAAACAAGCCAAAGATGGTTGGTRCACTGTGAACAAATATTGTCATAAGCTAATTATTATATTTTTTATATGATGTGGCTCTCGTCGCACAAATAAAAACTACGTCATCATTTTTATTTCACAGAGTTTGCTGAAGAAAATCGTAAATTGAAAGAAGCGCTCATGGAAAGTGAAACTCAAAAAGAGGCCGACAAAATGTCGATTCTGATCATGAAAGAGACGCTCGAGCAATTTACGGAACAAAAACTAAAGCTAACAAGCGAGCTCTGTGATCTTCAAAAAAAATGTACAGCAGACGAAGAGGCCGTAACCAAATTACGCATCGAAAACGAGTCACTGCAGCGACAGTTGAATAGACTTAATGATGACAATGAATCGCTTTTGAAGGATATTGACCGCATGGAAGATCAACTAAAGCAAGTATGTTGAAGTAAACTACTCAAATCTTATATCAAATTTCATGCATTTGTAACATAGGTAAATATTTTGGGGATGGAACAAAAAAAGCATTTGGGATTGCTTGAACTTGAAGTAAATAAGTTGAAGGAAGCAGAAAGTATTAACACTGCTTTACAGAGTACAGTATCCGTTACCCAAGAAGAAAATAAAGCACTCAAAGAGCACGAAAATAGTGTTACACTGGCGTTAGAGGAACTTTCACGCAAGTACAGACGAGCCAAAGAAATCCACGCGGAACAGCGGCTTAAGTTTAACGCTTTGAAAGATCGTTTTGTAGAAATTCATCGTAAGTTGAAAAATCTAAAGGAATGTAAGCGCGTACTGCTAGAAACACAACACGAATACGCTGAAGCTGTATCAAAGTGGCAAAACGAGATAGTAGAGGCTTCCAAACTTATATTCGCTCAAGTTAATATACTGCAAAGAGAGAATAAAGATCTTCGACAACAATTAAAATCAAATAATGTATTGAATAATGAGTCTACAGTTAAGCTATCAACGGCGGATTATTTTAGTGTCGAACCGTTCCACACAAAGTTGCAAGAATTAGAAGAGCTATGCGAACGTGTGCGTCAGGATTCAATGGCAAAGGACAAGCTTTTGTTAAAGGCACAATTGAAAGAGAAGGAATTAAAAAATATGATTGTTTCACTAAATGACAAAATAAAAGAACAAGATAATGACAAACAAAAAGAGGAACATGAAACGGAAGTAAAGTGCTTTAATCAAGAGATTTCTGACTTAAAAACCCAGTGTCACATATGTAAACCTCGTTTAGAGGCTGGTGAAATTAATATCTTGCAAAATGAATTGTTAGAGCGCTTGGATACTTTGGAAAYTGAGCGAAACTCTTTAATTGAGGAATGCAAAAGAATAGAGGAACTGCAATCGGACAAGCAGCGCTTGCAGATTGAAATTGATAATTTGAATAAAAAGTTGAGTGAAACTACGCAAGTTCATAAAGATTTACAGCAAACTCGAGACGTACTAAAACAGCTTGAAGAGGAAAAAAATTCGGYATTASAACAATTACAACAACAACAAAATGAAAAGCATAAGTCAGAAGACTCAACTAAATTCACCGATGAAAATTATATGGAACTTCATAAACGATATTCACAAATGGAGCGGGAGCACGCTGATTTACTTTGCGAAATGCGCGAATTAAATGAAGCATTGAAAGCGCGAGGTGATGTCATTTCGCGTCAACAAGAAAAGCAACAGGAGCTAACAAATGAGCTGAGAAAAACCAACACAAAGTTGAAGCAAATTGATGAAAAACTATTGCAAAAGGATGTAGCCATAGCAGAAAAGGAGGCACAAGTTCGTGAAATAACACGAGAAATCGATTTGACTCGCCAGCAGACACATGTACTCGAAGTTGCTAGCAGCCGGAGCGACGAGCAGCTGAGAGCCCTCAATGAGGAATTGCAAACACTACGCAGCAACGCTGATGCACAAAGCGAAGTACTCTCTACATCGACCATTTCACGAGCSGAAGAACTCTCGCGATTGCGCGAAATCGACGATAGTTTCGAAGAGAAGTACAATAAAATGCGTGGCCTTGCCGTTAAACTAAAGAAAAAATTGCAAGAACAAACTGGACAATTGCAAGAAATGGAGCAACAGCAGTCCGTGCATGTGGCGAAGAAAGCGGAATTGGAGGAGGCGCGCAAACAATTAAAACTTTTGCAACGAGAGCATGAAGAACAACAAAAAAATATCGAGTCACTAAAAACGGAGAATCAAAAGTTGAAGTCATCCCGCAAGCAAGCGAATGTACTTAATTTAGAAATTGAAGCAGCAGAGAAATCGCTTATGGAAGCAACCACAAAACTTGCAGCTAAAATCGRTGAACTAGAGTCGCTCAATGCGCTCCTATCCAACAAAGAACATACCATTACACAATTACGCAAAGAAATAGCAATTGTTGAGTCGGCAAAAGATTCAGAAGCATTACATGCGAAGGAACTAAAGGAACAAGTTGACCTATTGCAGGAGCAACTGAAGGATGCRGTACATGCCAAACAGGTGACGAGTGAGGCCAGAAAGCAGCTGGAGCTGTCACAAGAAGGTTTAAAACAAGAACTCGAACAGATCAAGCTGGAAATATCGCAATGCTCTGCTGAGAGCTCCGCCGCCTTGTTATCAACGCAAAATGAAAAACAGAAATTGGAGCAGCGTCTACACCAAACCGAAGTGAATCTTAAAGAAACACAAATTAAGTTGCAAAACGTCGAAGGCTCATTKAATAGTTTGCGAACCGAACATGCTGAATATAAACAAAAAGCACAAGCCGTCTTGCGAAAACAACAGAATACCGACACCACACGTGAGCGTGAACTAGCAGAGGAGCTAACGCATGCGCGAGCCATTGAAGAGCAACTGCGACAGACGATCACGGCGCAAACTAAAAAACTTGTCGAACTAGAACAACAAATAGCAGACTTGTATTTAGACAACGAGAATCTGCAGAGCCGAACCCGAGCGCTAAGTGCTTTGGAGGACGAGTTACGCCAGCAAAATGACCATCTAGTGCAAGAACAACGCTTGCAATTGCAAAAACATCAGGAGACCCTTCGCACACATCGGCTGCAATTGGAAACAGCACATGAGTGTCACGCACAGCAAGTGCAAGATATGCAAGCAAAATATCAACAGCAAATCGATGAGCTTCGAGCAGTACAGAACCAAACAGTGCGTGTACCGCCCACTGTAGGTGCAGCTGCAGTATCAAACGTAAATGCATCCTCAATGCATACACCCACATACATCGAAGCGAGTTCAAATCAATTGCTAATGCTTGCCGAACGTGAGGATGCAGAGGGTTCGGAGGAAGCCAATATAGCTATCAATACCACTAAAGTTCAAGCACTACGAAAGATTTCCAGTAGTTCACGACGCTCCCAACACGACTTTATGCCGCTAGATGAATTGCTTAACACACCAATGCATGCCTTCCAAACGGACACCGTTACCACGATTGGCAGCAACAGCCTGGGCTGGAATGAATTAAATTCCGGCAATAACAATACTGAGACCTTACAGGGGGAACTACATGTAACTCGAGAATTACTTGCGAAGCAAGAGAGTAGCGTGCGCCATCTTACAGCGCTTTTAGCTGAGAATGAACAAGATTTGGCAAAATTGACACAGATGAATGATATGCTAAAGGAAGAGTTGCGGCGACAAGAACGTGCCGTCGAACGGGAACAGCATATGCACAATGCGGAATATTTGAAGAACGTCGTATTGAAGGTAAGTGAATTTATATTTTTACTTGCATATTGTTAAAATCTCTCTTACAGTTCCTTATGCTGACTAATGGTGACGAGCGTGTACGTCTAGTTCCGGTACTTCAAACCATATTAAAACTTAGTCGCGAAGAAAAAGACATCTTGAACTGCGTGGCCAAAGGACAAAAATGTAAGTAAAATACATATATGCATTTGTAAGCATTTCAAATTACTTACATCATTTTCAGTGCCCACTGAAACACAAGGACGTGGTTGGGGCAGTTTTCTACCACTTTTCGGAAGCGGTGGAAATAGTTGAAATCGAAAAAACTATATAGTATATTTTAAAGTATTTGAGCATAATTTGTGTTGGGAGCTTTGAATTAATATAAAGATGTAAAATATCGGAAGACAGTAAATACCTACACAACAAATTGTTGACGACCACAAGTTTGATGTTTTCGTAATTATTCAAGCCAATTTTATTTGCTTTCAAAGTATTTTTTTGTTTTTTGTTTTCATTTCCATTACTCTGTGTCAGTGTCTATAAATGCAATTTTTATATTTAAAATATGTATAGGTATACGTAAAATTATTATGCCATGCTAAAGAAATGTATTTATCCTAGGCAATTATCAACTTTAGGCAACAATATTTGTATTATTTACATGCATGCATGTACATATAAAAGSAAAGAACCTTACAAATTGTATAACGTATTATTTTTCGAAAATATTGGCAAAAATCAAAARACCCCACCAAACATTATTCCAATAGATTGAAAATTAATTAAATGTACCAAATGTAAATAAAGTGCTAAATTATTAAACGTTATTTAAACTTTTTTTTTAGAAAATAGTGAATATGTGTATATAGTTATGGACAGTATATAAACATGTTATTATGTCAATAAAAACAATTAAAATTTATATTGTGGATGGGCTCCATTTATTTACTCATTTCAGATTTATAATAGTGCAATGATAGTAAGAAAAAAATAAATAAATATCGTTAAAATAAATTGTATATAGTTTTATTTATTGTTTTTTATAAACAAAAGTTTTTACTAATCCGAGCCTTTTTAAGAAAACTTAATCTTAAATGAAAGGATTTAGGCTTATTGATTGCTGAAAGTGAAACACTCGACTACATTAATAAAATATTGGCCTAGTGGTTACAAATCGCATCTTAAAAATCTAATCTAAAATAAATGTGGAAATACTTCCAAAAATCACACACAGATACGAGTATCTGAACATTTATGCTAAGTTACAGCTAAATATTTTGTTTGCTTTACGGAATTACTGCCAAACACCTGCATAATTGCCGACAAGTGTAGCAGGCAGGGGACCACCAGCAGCAAATAGTCGCATGCCTGTGCTATCGTAACAATGTGTATAAATAGCTGGTACATATTTCACTTGTTGGAAGCCATCCATTTCATCTTCAGGATACTAAACAATATAAATTTGACATATATGTATAAATGAAGTACATGACTCGAATATACAAAAAAAAATATACTCACCACAATACCTTTACTACATTTGAGCGCCACTGTTCGTGAAGCATTTACGCTGCTTTCCAAATATTTACCAGCACGTATATCATAGAATAACAGCATACCCAAACCGGTACCAACTGTTAAGAGATTGCCTTCGAATGTGGTGGCACGTATSCCACATCCATTGTAACGTGAAGTGATCTTCTTGATTGTCTAATACAAAAAATAAAAGGATTTACTTAAAGAGAGATATACATATGAAACTTTGTTGTTGAAATTCACCTGTAGTGTTCGTGCGTCTAGCAGAATGGTGTATGAGCGACAGCCGACAGCATAGAGCCCATCGCTGTGATAAGCTATGCTCACATTATCCTGGCAATTTGGCAGTTTACGTGATAACTTTTGTTTGAATGTTTCAGCATTGAAAATATGTATATAACCGTTGAGAGAAAGAGCTGCAATTTCTTTGAATTCTTTGTTGAAGCACAGTGAACGAATCTGGAAAATACTACAATTTATTTATATGTTCGGATGAACGTATTTTTAATTCCATTTGTTTATACCCGTTGTGCTGTGCGTACGTCTTTTACACATAATGGATTAATGGTGGCGAAGGTAGGACATGCTTCCTTACCGCCATCCGGAAAATCCATGAGATCTTCGTTTATACGCCATAATGACAGACGTGAATCTTTAGACCCAGACACCAAAAATTGATCATCTAACCAACACATGCCCATTATTAAATCCCGATGTCCGTTTTCTCCCACACAAACAGGGTCTAATGTCGGCAAGCGATAAACTGCTATATCCGCCGAGTTGCGTGCGCCTGTGGCGAGGAATGATCGACTTGGATTGATTTCGATAGCATGTAAACCACCTTGGACTTCAGGGTGATTTGCACGATTATTGGAAAGCGTTGGAATCGCATCCACACGGCGCATATTTACATCGTAGACCAGTAGCTACAAACTCATACAAATTAAAGAGAACTCAAGGATGTAATATCTTRTAGTTACTCACTTTATTGCACTTGGTCCCAAAAACAACTTGACGATTACTTAACCATTTGGAGCAAAACACCTTATTGATATAACCTAAATGTATCTGCGTTTCTCGTAGCATATCATGCGTCAACACATAGCGGCTAGTATTCTCAAAGTTAAAACTGCGTTGCTGAATATATAAAATATTAAAAATCACTTTCTCAGATAAACTCTGTGTATTTCATTTCAAACCTCTTTTAAGCCTGTCTCTCTGCTACGTAAATAATCGCATAGATTGAATGAGGTATTCAAGACCTCTTCTTGTTGCTGTGGAGTCTCTTCATCACTACCAGAATCGTCGTAGGTAACGAAATCGTCAGGTTTGTCGGGTTTTCGGCGTCGTTCTTGGCGTAAGGCTCGTGCTTTAGCACGTCGTTCTTCCAGACGTGCTGGTACATGACAAGAAGGATGGGTACCTACTACACTATGTCGCACAGTTTTAACCATGGAACTAAAGACCATAGTGTTTTTGTTACGTATCTCAAACATTTTTGCTGTCGTTACTATACCACACTATATGACTTTTGAACCCTCCTGGTAGCAGCAGACAGAAACTGTGCTTGAACGCTATCTATATATGCTTTTTTTAACACTCAAACAACGGAAACACATTAAAGTTTTCGAAATAAAAAATATATTTTTTTGTTTACCACGGTCGCCGTAAAAATCTCTGTACGATACTTTTTCTCTGCGACAATGAAAAACGAATGTCAGTGTGAAATGAAAACGATAAAGGGTAATGTAATTGAAATAGTTTGACATAATGCCACGTTTACAGTCTTTTAAACTGGTTCAAATTCCAAAATTTTAAACGACATAATATTATTTTTATTCCTGCTTTATAACCATTTTATTGTCCATTATTTTTATCACATAATTAAACTAGTTTACAAAATATTGAATTGGATTCAGAAATTGTTTAGCAAATTTAATTTATTTCGAAACTTTGGAAAAGGAGCCATACACGACACACACGTGCTTTCGATCTGAAGAAATCTTTTGCCACACACAACATACAAATCCATTTTAAGTTCGTTTTTTACACAGACAACACGAGAAATATGAGATTTTGTGTGCACACAGCGCCATACACGACATACATGTGTGTAAGCCGCGATCGCACACATACAGATCGAACGCACATGTGCGTCGTGTATGGCCACTTTAAGCCCTCACTTCATGTTTAAGCCATATATATTTAAAATGCAATCTGGCAACTTCCAGAATTACCTCTGCCAAATTTAATTTTTTTCTTGTTGATTTAGTTTTCTGCACTTCTACAAATTTTTTACATTCCGTCGAAAAATATTTAATTGTATATTGAGGAGGGAAGGAATTTTAAAACAAATTTGTTGCATTTGGGCAATGAACGCATACGGTTTGTAAAATTAAAAATTCAAAGTGTRATTTTGTGGATAATTTGACAAATTAGTAGTTGTTTCATATAAAAGGCGAGAGGTACTTTGTATCTCGCCGCCAATTCTGTGCTTTTCATTTACATTTCGTGTATTTATCTTATACCTTTTACTGTAAGAGTTAATGTTTGAATTGATTTTATTGATATTACCCAATTTTCATAACTGTTCTGAATGAATGTAAATATAATACATTGGCTAACGCGTTATATGTAATGACCCCTGCTTGGGTTAAGCCTAGCTAAAGTAATATCGGTCTAAAACCTTTGCATTTAAATTATCTCTTTTATATATCTGCATATGTTTAATTTGTGTTCCACATAATACACTTGTATATGCGTTAATTGTGCGTGCAGTTAGTCGAGTAGGAGATATACACTTTTAGGAAAAGACAGCTCAAAACTTGATATAAATAAATTTGTGTTCGAGAACATTACACCCGACCAACCAACATTACTATCGCATTTTCATCGCCACGTTCACACACCTACGCCCAACAGTACCACAACAATTATCACTTGTCACCATTCTCCAACACCACCACCACCCAAATATAACAACTGCTACTACAACTTCCACCAACGCCACAATCAAATACAACTTTCCGGTCAAGGTTACTGTATGTTTGCGTCTTAATAAAGGCGCTTCTACAGTTGACATTTAGAAACAACACCATTAAGAAACAGAACAGAGCCCTTCCATGCACCATGGCCAAGATGTATGGAAAGGGTAAGAGTAAGTAAATTGCTAATTTTTTATTACATATTAAAATTAATAATTTTAACAATAACATACATATTTCGTGATTCGCATTGATTTGACAATTTGTAAATCGAAAAATGTCAACACAATAACTTTTGGATTAACATCTTAACCCTCTACACTATATATTTATTTTATGGAAAGTTTCCGAAAATGATTGTAAAAAAATATTAATTTTTCTTTCCCCTTTWAGCGGCTATTGAATCAGAGGATCAACAAAAATTACGATGGCAAGTTGAACTTGAATTCGTACAGTGCCTGGCTAATCCCAATTATTTAAACTGTAAGTAAATGCATTTCATTTTTATGAAGACAGTAATAACAACAAAGTTTCGCTTGTAGTTTTAGCTCAACGAGGTTACTTTAAGGATCAAGCATTTATCAATTATCTTAAATACCTGCAATATTGGAAAGAGCCTGAATATGCCAAATATCTAATGTACCCGATGTGTTTGTATTTTCTTGATCTATTGCAATACGAACACTTTCGACGTGAGATTGTCAATTCGCAATGTTGCAAATTCATCGATGATCAAGCTATATTGCAGTGGCAACATTATACTCGTAAGCGTATTAAAATGTTTAATAGTGTCAATGGTATCGGGCAAATGAATGCTGCCGATTTGGCTGCAATGGATGCACAGCAGCAAAATGCTCAGCAAAATCAACAGAATCAGCAACAGCAACAGGCGGGGCAACAGCAACAGGGAGCTGGTAACGCGCATGCAGGCTTACAAAATGGCTTGGTGAATAATGCGCAACTCCAACAACAACAACARCAGCAACCCCAGCAAGCACAACAACAGCAAAGTGTTGGCAACGCATTAATGGGCATACCAAATGGAAATAATACCGCCGCTAATAGTAATAACTGAAAGCGCTTCTAGATTTGCATAGTTTTTCTCTCATTAGTTAGTAATTTATTTAGTCATTATGAACTTTAAATAATATAGAAAGCTTTACTATCTAAACCATTTACGTGTGATTGTTTTATTGTATCCCATACTTTTTTGTACCTWATAACTTTGAAACGAAAAAAGAACGAAAGAAATTTAATGTCGAGAATTTTTACCATTGTTTTAGATCTATCATTTTTTATTTCTTTTATTTTAGTTATTCAGCATGAGTAACTCGTTTTTCTATGGGGTGTATTTGCTTTGCAGTCAAAGTGCTGAAAAACGCTACAATGGACGCTGCTATATTGGTTTTACCGTAAACCCCAAACGCCGTATAAACCAGCATAATCGAGGTAAAGATTTTGGTGGTGCCAAACGCACCAGTAACAAAGGACCCTGGCACATGGTTATGATAGTACATGGTTTTCCAAATAATATTTCAGCGTTGCAGGTGAATATTAATGTAACCCTATAAATATCAATAAAAAAAAACGATGCTACAATCGTTTACAGTTTGAGTGGGCGTGGCAGCAACCGGCACTTTCTACACGGCTTAAACAATATTCGGAGTTGCGACGTAAATATCCAAAAGAAAGTAATTTCCAGTACAATTTTCGAATATTGAGCCGTATGTTAAATGTGGGCCCGTGGAATCGATTACCACTCACAATTCGTTGGTTAGAAAGAGAATACGAATGTGATTTTATAGTAAGTACTCATACAATTTTATTTTGATTATAAAGCATAAAGAGTGAAAAAAAATAATATTCTTTACCAGCTTAAACCACCGCTTCATATGGAAATTGTAAGCGGCCATGTTCAACTACCAAAATCTCAAGCCACTCGACCTAAAAATGGCGAGGAACCACCAAAGGCTATTTGGGCAACCGAATGCCACTTGTGTATGCATCGTATTGAGGACCCTGACCGTTCGCGTATTGGATGCATTAATTCATTATGCAAGCTCACTTGTCACATTATTTGCTTAGCCAATTATATATTATCTTCCGATGAAAACAATCGTGGGCATTACATACCTATTGCGGGTGAATGTCCRTTGTGCGAGGAAAAATTTACTTGGGTCGCTTTACTACAGCGTAAGCGTAAAATTCAACAAAGTGGTGTGGAACATATTGAAGAGGACGATGAATATGGTGATGATAGTGATATTAGTGTAAGTAAATCTGATAGTGAATGTGAAAGTGCTGAATCTAAAAAAAACACTGAATTCGATAAGTTTGATTTTATGGAAACTTCCGTTCTTGATGGAGCAAATATACAAAATATAAGTGGCGATCAACATGAAATATATGAATTGAGCGACTGATGARTTTTTAATTGAATGGAAAATAAAGCGATGTTTTTTAAATTTCAAAACACGTACATTTTTATTTCAATCACACCATTATTTAGCCTCGAAAAGACTGAATTAACCACATATTTATATTTACATACCCATATGTACATATGCATGTATGTAAATGTACTCATATAAAGATATACACATGTATGTATATACACAAAAACAAGGCACATTTATATGATTATTTTTATGAAACAGTTAAAATTTTTTATAAAGAGTAATGGCACATTATAGTACAATATTTGAAGAATATTCTGTAACATTGTCATGGAGAAATATCAAAAAATGCGGCAATCTGAAATCAAAATGATATCGTTAGATAATCGCTTTTCCCAAGTAACGCTAAACTGTTTTTCAAAGTTTCTATTTTTTACTTTCTGGGAACCCTTTGAAGAAAAAAAAAGAACGGTTAATTAGTTATTGTATTGTGTAATAAAAAAAGATTAACAGGTCTGAAAAAACTCTCCAGCCTTAAGGTCGTAGCGTATTACGTATAAAAAAGAGTCTTCAAAAAGATCAGTGCAGTAGTTTTGAAGCTATGAGGGGATCGTTAATTTGGATATCTTAATGGGATCTTGAAATATACAGTAAAAAAAATCGAAAAAAATTAAAATCTCCATTTCCCCCTTAAATCAATATTTTATGTATTGTGGATTCTTAGCTTTGCATTCTTAGCACTCTCCTACAATTAAGTTTTATTTCAAACGGAAGTTTTCCAACCAAATTTTAATTATTCTCCAAATTAGCTCCAAGTTTTGCTATTTTTATATTTTTTTATACTTTAAATGGTAGATTCCAAAGGATTACTAAATATTGGCTATATTAATGTTTACATTGTCAGGTAAATTATTCAATTCAATAATATATTACTATGATGGGCATTAATAAGTTGAACGTCCAGCCATATTGGCAGCTTCCTCTTCAAATTTAGTATTTACCGCGCTTAATGCCGCCTTGTATTGTCGTGCAAATCCCTTATCTTCTAAACCCCAAACACGACCATTTGTTGCCAACATAACGCCCATTGCCTCCCATTCGTCCATGTATCTTATATGTGTTGGAGAAACCTTCTCTTGCTTCTTATAACTTATAGTAGGCTGCAGATTGTTTGTATTTTCATGACTGCTAGTTCCGTTAAGGGGCTCATTATTTGTATTTTCTGTTGATTGCTGAAATTCTACGCTACTTTGTTGTTGTGGCGACTGAAATTCTGATTCATGTTGACTTGAAAGTTTAGACCCCGTCTGATCTGGTTTGCACAAGCATATATGCTCGTGTGCACTATTCGGTGGCCTGCACTTATCGCAGTCAACAGCGTCATCTTTCTGTAATATGCACGCAGGTAATGGTATTGGACATTCATGTGTTTTGCGCTCTATGCCACAAGTGGGCATTCGATCTTTAAAGGAATGTTTGCACCGTTTAGAACACATTTTCGATGGGTAAGCAATTTTGAGTTATGCACCTTCCGGTATCATAACCGCAATAATTCAAATAATAGAAATATATATATAATTTAAAGTTACTGAATAGTTGAATATAATCCTTTAGCTTACATTTAGTTTACAGAAAGAGCATTACAGCAGCGTTGTGGTGGATTAGTTGCTGAATGTCAATATGTTTTATTCCGGACATTAAATATATGTAGTTTGTTTCATTTTATTTTTACAACTTTTGTCAAAAATGAGAGTTAAAAAGTTAAAATTTTCAATATTTTGTAACTTTTGAGATTTGAAAGCGATAAATACATACAAAGTAGAAATAATAATAAAAAATATACATTATTATTGTTTAAAATTTGCCACGTAACCAGTATCCAGTTTTCACTAAGTTAAATGAATTCACTCAAAATTATTTTACAAGAACATACAATGAATGTTGACATTGCAAGAATAAAATAGCGGTTTTTAAAGTAGGAGGAGTAAAACCTCCCAGCGTTACATACATAGGTAAAGCGATTATATTTTTATTTTTTTTTTATTTCAAAATCCATTGAGATTTTTTTCAAAAAACTTGTTTCGCACGATTAAGCTACTTTCCCCCTATAGTAAACTATTTGCAAAAATTTATTTTAGCCTATTTCGCCAAGCTATATTTATAGAAAAATTTGAATTTCCTGCTGGGCCTCTCACATTTTTGCAATGGTTGTTCTAACTGGCTATGAATTCTAAAACATGTTTTTTAGAATGGCTTATCGTGTATTATTTATTTCTAAAATACCAAAAGCTAGACTTACTCGTCAACAGGAACTTGAAGTGAGCGGTTGTTACAAGTGATTAGTTCGCAAAATCACTTTATTACTAAATTAATATTTAACTGCTTTATAAGTATAACATCAGGAAAATACAAATTTTAATTGAAATGTTGAATTTTAATTTGATCGCCGCTGTTTGCGAGAACTCAGGTATAGGTTTAAACGGTGATTTGCCATGGAGTTTAAAGTGTGTATGTGTATTTATTTTTTTCTTTTGTATATTTAAAAGCAATTATTAACAAGCTTCATGTACTTTGTTTTATACATTCAAGGTCGGAATATGAATATTTTACACAAACAACAAAACGACGACGTGATATCACAAAGCATAATGTTGTTATAATGGGACGACGTACTTATTTAAGTATACCCGAACACGAGCGACCGCTTGCAGACCGCATAAATGTTGTTTTAAGTTCAACTTTATCGCCAACCGATCTGCCAACAAATGTGTTTTTATTTCCTAATCTAGTGTCAGCAATGAAACGATTGGAACAAAGAGATTTGCGAGAACGAATTGAAAATGTTTGGATAGTTGGCGGAAGTGGGGTTTACAGAGAAGCTATGTCTTCACCGCGCTGTCATCGCCTCTATATAACAAACATTAAACAAAAGTTTAACTGTGATATATTTTTCCCTAAAATACCAAATAGTTTCAAAGAAATAGGACCGGATCCGGAGACGCCATTAGGTGTACAGGAAGAAAATGGTGTGCAATATGAATTCAAAATTTACCAAAAGTAATCCTTACAGTTAATTAATTGATAATTAGTAAAAATTAGGTGTTTTTTTCTAATTTGTTAACAATATATACGCTAACAGAGCTATAGAACAAGAAAAAACGAGTATCTTTTGATTTGAAAAAAAAAAAAATCAAAAGTATCYTTCTTTTATGTACACTAATTCCACTATTTCGCAGTCAGCCACCTCTGGTTGGAAACAATTTAAAAACAAATGCAAAGTTATGAGCATAATATTAAACAATACCTTTGTATTACTTCCTGAAGAGGAAGGGGAAACTTTGAACTCAAAATTTAGGCAACAATTTTAAATTTCCTTTTCCCCGACAAGTTGAAGTGTGCATTATTTTGCATCATTTTATTGAGCGTCTTTTCAAAAACTTTACTTTATAACTAATTTTATACGTACATATATATTCAATACTATTTTTGTTGGCGCATTTATAAAAATAATTTGTCAACAAATACTATAAGTTGGCGGTTATTCACTCTAGAAAAGATTCACCAACAGTGYTGCCAACACATTGTATTTTAAAGTTTCCGGAACCATAATATAATCAGCCCTATTCTGCATTTATATTACGTTTTAACTTACAAAAACGGAACTACGATCGCAATGTAGAATACATAAAATTGGAAATGTCGAAGATTGATCGAAACTAATCGAAACGCAGAATACCAAAGTTGCCAAGCTGAAAAAATTTCGATTCGAGTCGAAATGCAGAATAGGGCTGAATAAGAACTTGATAAAATATTTTTTTATACATATAATTTATTTTTGAGATTTTTAATAATGTTAATCTTCCTGTTTTTTATTATCAAAACTATTAATATTTGTTAAAGTTAAACAATTTAACATTTACATGACTAGCAATATTATTTGTGTAAGTAAATTGAATTTGTCCGGCAACACTTGCAAAGTGCTTATATTATTCACAGATGGTGAAGTATTTTGTTTGGTATTGTTTATTACTATTCTTCCTTGTCTATCAATTAATTTTTGGAGAAAATAATTTCAATAAATTTGTTGTTTTCCAAAAACGCCTGTATAAGATTACGTTAGAAGTGTGTTGCCAAAAAAATCGCGCAATCAAATAATTATGGAATCTGTGTCGCAAACAGTTTCTTCAGAACGAAAACTAACATCAGATCAAACAAATGACGATGTTGCTACAAAGCCTGTTGTTGATATGACTTTTACGAAGGAATTGCGTAAAGCCACGAAAGACGTGCATAAAATTAGTGATGTGCTGGTGAATGCAAAATTCGCTTTAGGTGAGTGTCATAGGATGAAATAGCCTTTGTTATAAAACGTTTTGTTTCAGCGCTATCGGACGATGCTGTTTGGTTTGATGGTTTATTAGCATTTTACGAAGTTTACAAATTCTTGGAGGAAAATCTTCCTGAAAACTTACTTCCCAAAGAACTTCATCGCAAATCTGCTTTTGAACAAGATTTGGCGTATTTCCTTGGCAAAAATTGGAAAGATAATTACGAACCAAGGGAGAGTGTTAAAAAATATATCGATCATTTAGAAGAAGTCAATGCAAAAAATAAATTACTCTTGTTTGCGTACGCTTATCAAATGTATATGGCTTTAATGTCTGGCGGTCAATTACTACAAAAGAAACGAATGATTAAGAGAAAACTTTGGTTTGGTAAACAAGCTGAGGAGGAACAAGAAGAAGTGAAATTACCTAATTCAAACCCGGAAGTTGACGATTTAGAGAACCGTCCAATGCCCTGTCAAGTCACCATTTGCCCAGAGGGATGTGCTGCAACATATTTTCCGGAGAAAATTTCAGTTTTGAAGGATAAATTACGACAAGTACTCAATGATAATTATGGAAATTTTAATGACGACCTACGTGCCGAATTTATAGAAGAAAGCCGTAATGTTTTTATTTACAACGGCGATGTTGTTCGTTCTATAAAGGGTGTTAACCGTGCAAATTTACGAAAATTGGCAATGGTTTTAGTTTTCGTGATGGGTGTATATTTCGCTTTAAAATTAGCTAAGCGTTAGAACCTGCACTAATTGTATAGACTGGTAAAGATAAAAAAATATGTATGTATATAGTTTAGTGCTCCAAAATACAAAATATCGATAAAAAATATTAGGTGTTAACTATCCCTTAAAAATTTAAATTTTAATTATGTAACCCTAGATTATCTAGATAATATATGTAATAATAACACTGTGGAACATTTTTGGGATTATTGTTTGGGGGGTGAGAAATTCCAAATCAGGGTGATGGTACTAGGTCAGTATAGTAAAACCCTCAAAGGGTTTGGCGTTCGTATGTGTCAGTTTTTTTTTATGACCTTTTAAATTTTTTCCTTATCTTGATGTTTTTTCGCTTAGTTGTAACATTTTGGCAAAAACGTAGTTTAACATAACTCGCGAACCACTTGTCCGATTTTGATGAAACAAATTTAGAAAAATTAAGAATTACAATTTCTATTTGCTTTTATTTGTTTTTATTCAAAAAAGTGTCATTTATCGCCTTTTTTTTAAAATAAATTTTCCCCAATAACTCCAGACTTCAGGCCATAAACTACTAAAAAAATAAAGTAAACATTTTTAAAATTTTTTATTTTTATTTTATTTATTTATTTTAATAAATATTGCCTAGACTTTTTCGATGGTGGTTGTTCGGGACTAGTGGCATCGCATTCATCGCTATGGTCAGTTTCTGAACCACACATAATCTCAATGTGTGACTCCACTGTTGGCCCTTCTGCATCTCCTGAAAATTCTTTATCATCAAGATCATCCCTGTGTTGCCACACAATCTTACTCCACCAGCAAATTTAAGCAATTATTGCACTCGGCGACACTTTGCCTGACGACTTCCATAAGCTGTGACTTTCACACCCTTTGAGGGTTTTACTATACTGACCTAGTACYATCACCCTGACTTGGAATTTCTCACCCCCCAGATTAGCTGTTKTACTGTGTAATCGTTCTCGACTTTATCTTGAATAACGAAAACTTGTTAAACTTATTTCTGTGTAATTATTTTAAATAGGATGTATGAGTATTCATGTATGCTAATGGTTTTTTAAAGATGTAAATATATATGTCTATAGTTAAAATTTCGTCAAATCATATAAATATTTAGTGCATATGTTATGTCTTACTAGCATACTCAAAAGCGTTGAGCTACAGGTTAACGCCGACGCGGCAACCCTAAATGAAGTATCAACTTTACGCCAAGGTCTCCCTTAAATTGTAAAATTAGTACGAAAGWAATTAAATGTAAAACGAATTAATWAATTAATAATTWTTTTTTGTACAAGAAATAACATCGTGCGTAAATAAATTTGTAAGCAAAATTAATTCTTCACGTGCTGTCAAAATCGAAATTTTAAACTCTCAGTGTGGCCACCGCGTTTATTTAAATATGAGTCAAACAAAATCTGGCAACCTTTTGTGGATTGTAATTATCTGCACCATATTTTGACAGTACAATAGAAAACAATTTAGTTCTCGGTGAAGAATATAATAACTTGTAGTAAACACACTTTTAATAAAAAAATATTGTTGTGGTGAACATTTTGAGAAATAGTAGTGAAGTAAGTGGCCAAATTAAACAAAAATACACAAGGAATAATATAGCTTATTTCCTGAACCTCCCTCCCATTTGTCTATCTACTATTATTATTATTTTAATTTAATATAAATTTTAAATTTATAATATAGCGTGCCTATAATTAACGCATTTTTTTAAAACCAAAACTACAGACGAAGTTACACACGTTTTAACTGATTACTTCACTGAAAACTTCTTGGACACAAAATTTTAAAACAACCACATATTTGGAACAAAGCATCTTCTTAAATTTGTCACAGAACTGTTTTACCTTTATATTTTACTCTATGCACTCCTGTTAATGAAAATTCCTGTAAACAKCCTATCCAAGTACTAAAAACACTAGTCCAGCTTTCCCCTCAATACTGGACTGGTTTCTGGTAATTCCATATTGTCTTACCTCATATCCGATACATTGGTAACAAAAATCAAAACATACAATGTCGGATATTTTTACAAATTTCGATAGCAACGGCGCTAACGACGACTCACAGGACTTCATTATGGCATCGCCCTCTCAAAGTAGTCCTTTGACAAACTCTAATTCTGTTGGAATTACTTCTACCAATAATGCGGCAAGTGGTGGCAGCGGCGGCACACAAAATGCGAATTCTGGAAATTCAGGTACAAATGGAACAGCTGGTGGCAGTGGGGGTGGTGGAGGAAAGACAAGTGGAGGAACGGAAAATCAACCCGTAAGTAAATTGTTTGGAAATAAAATAAGTTTATTATAGAAAACCTTACTAATAATTTTAATTCACAACAGATTTTAACGAAACCGCGATTACTTGAACTAGTGCGTGAAGTTGATGTCACCGCACAACTTGATGAAGATGTTGAAGAACTCTTGCTACAAATTGCAGATGATTTTGTGGAGGACGCAGTAAAGGCGACTTGTGCGTTTGCAAAACACAGAAAAGTTTCAAAAGTGGAAGTGCGTGATGTTCAACTACATTTAGAACGAAAATGGAATATGTGGATACCTGGATTCGGTACAGATGAGTTGCGGCCCTATAAACGTGCAGCTATTACAGAGGCACATAAACAACGATTAGCACTTATACGTAAAACAATTAAAAAGTATTAAAATGAGTGCTGAACTTTTCAATCTTTATTTAAATACGTAAATAGTTTTTAAGCTTTTTTTTATGAAAATACATTTCAAATTTTGTTCATACTAGTATAACAACTGATTTTATTCGGAAAATAGTATTTTATTAAGAAAATTGAAATTCACCTAGTAGTGATTTTACAGATCAACTTTTGGTCTATCAATCTTTTCTAATTCAACATCAAAAACCAACGTTGCATCTGGGGGTATTTTGTCACCAGCTCCTGCTTTGCCATAACCCAATTCAGGCGGTATAACCAAGCGACGTTTTTCACCTTCGCACATGCCCAACAGCCCTTGGTCCCATCCTTTTATCACTTGACCGGCTCCAAGTCTCACAGAAAATGCTTTATTACGATCATAACTATTGTCGAATTCGGTACCRTCCTTTAACGTGCCCTATAAATATACGCTTGTTAAAGAGAAGTTAAAGTCTATATAATTATATAAACATACCCTATAATGAACGTGAATGGTATCTCCCTTACGAGCTTTTACTTCGCAATTTTCCGCCCTCTTTTTAATACCAATTTTTATCGTGGGTTTCGAATCTTCCTTGGCAAAAGCGTTCAGTGTTATTACAGTTAATGTAACTAATATTAGAAAAAACTTCATTTTTATTTGAATGTTATTATAATGTTAATTATGAATATTGTCTTATTGTTAAATAGATAGATATAGCAATTAAATTGTTCCACGCAGTAGATGTTGATTTGTAGTTATTTGTAGTAGATAAGAATTTTGACAGCTGATAAACAAATTAGTAGTGCTGCCGTTTTTAAGAAACCGTCAAAGTAGTAAAATGTGGTAGCGCAAAGTATGAATGCATACCTGATTTACACTATCATGTATTTCTTGTCTAGATATTTTTCTTCCTGTTTGATGTAATGTTGGTTCCAATTTGGCGCATCATTTGTTGATTTTATACATACATAMATATGTACATATATACAAATAAATGAGTTGTTCGATTTTTTATTTAATATGATTGTGACTTTTTAAAACACTTTGTATATTTTATTGTATGTATTTCATTAAAATCATGATGTTTTGTGAAATGTATTAGTAATGAAGTACACTCACTAATTTAKCCGTTATACGTCTTCTCTGCTTAAGAAATTTTTTCATAAGGTATAAAAGCTTCCGAACCCTTAAATTTCGTTATATGTATATAGTTTTCTTTTCCATATTTGTAATTTATTTTGTTGTTATACTACATATGTTAATACTTTCTTCTTTTGAAATCGGTGTCTGGTAGGGTACTTATGTAAGTATGTACATATATATAATAAGATTTGCACTTTCATGTCACCTAGATGCTTGCTCGAGCTTTCCTGTCTATTCAAATATCATGGCAAGTTCATAGTTTCTCCGAATCCCAATTGCTAAAATAGGCCAAAATCTGTACAAAAAACATTTAGTGCAAGAAACTTTTACACATCTATTTTTTTTAGTTATGTAGTATTTTTTTTTTATTTACTGATACAGGGTTAGATTTTTAATATATCAACCCTTGGCCACATAAAATCTGTGTCAACTCCGGCCCCCTAAAAAATGCTGTTATGGGAATTAGTTTTATAGTGTAGATATCGCATTCGATGGAACGATGA